AATTTTTTATTCAGGTTATTTCTTACGTTATTTCCCTAAGTTATTTCCTACGTTATTTCGTATGAGGTTATTTCCCTAAGGGAATAATCTCATAGGAAATAACCTACCAAATAACTTTGTCATTAAGGTCCCTAATGGCATAAGCATGAGCAAATAAAAGTAACTTCTCTTTAATTGTCCTTAAATCTCACTAATTGGACCACCAGTTTTAAAAAATTTCGTGAACAATGTTTGAAATAAAAATTAAGAACAAGTCATACAAAATCAGTCGAGTTATTTCAACTCAATGAAAAAAAATAATAATTTCATAGAAAGAGTTACACTATGATTTAAGATTTTTGTATGACTTATCCAATTTTGTCCAATCGCACTGAATAAATACAATACTTGATACAAATTATACTATAAAATTATATGAACAGAAAAATAAAAGAAGAATCTTCATAATGTCTTCACATTCAAAATTATTAATATATCTGTCTAGTTTATCGAAATACTAAAAAAATAGATCAAGATTTATGAAAATATCCTCAAAATAAGTGTTTTTTAAATTGTTACCATTTACATGCGTACGATTAAATCATTGCCCAAATTAGGGGCTTTTCCCAAATTAAGGCAAAATAGTAATTTATTTCCTAAAGTAGGCTTAGTTTGGACAGAATTCCTAAACTAAGCTAAAACGTGGATACAAACCACGCTTTCACTGTTTTTTGGCCCTCCCGCGGACAATTTGTAAAATCTTAAAAGTGTGGTACAATCCACGCTTTTAATTAACAAGACGTGGTTACAAATCATGCTTTTAAGGAAATTTTATTTATACATAAATTTTGAAGTAATTATTTTTTTAAAGTAAATCTAATTAAGGAAATTTGATTTATATGCTTTTGTTAAGTAATTCTTTCTATCTTTAGAAAACGTGGTTGCAAACCACGGTTTTACTGTTGACCCGTGGATAATAATCACTTTTAAGCAAAATGTAAAAATTCAACAAAGAATTCAAAACCAGCACTCATTCTTGTTTGTCACAAACACTCACAAACACTCTCTCTATCCCTCTCTCTGACACACACACCCACAACATTCACACTCACATCAAACATATATAATTTTTAATATATATAAATTTTATTTTGTAAAATTCAGACCAATATTAAATATATATAATAATAATTGATAATAGCAAATAATAATCAAAAAAAATTCATTGGAAAAAAAATAAAATTAATTGGAAAAATAAATTATTCCAAAAGAAAAATTAAATTAAAAAAAATTAATTGTTCTGAATTTTATAAAGTAAAATTTATGTATATTAAAAATTATATGTTTGATGTGAGTGTGTGTTGTGGGTGTGTCTGTCAGAGAGAGACAGAGAGAGAGTGAGTATGTGTGTGTGTGACAAAGAAGAGTGAGTGCTGCTTTTGATTTTTTGTTCAAAACGTGTTTTGAAAACACGTTTTTACATATTTTACTTACAAGCGTGGTCACGAATATGTATAAATCAAATTTCTTTATGTATAAATCAAGTTTACTAACACTTTATAATTTATATAAAGTCACAACCTACACTCATAATTTATGTAATGATTAGAAATTTAGGTAAATTAGAAATATTGTTACTTTGATGTTGGTTGTTACTTTGATGTAAAGTTAGGTTTACCTACACTCATAAGTTTACCTACCTCATAAGATTGTTGGATTTTCCTACACTCATAAGTTTACCTACACTCAAAGTAACAAGATTAACAACTTACACTCATAAGTTTATGTAAATTACTTAGATTTATAATTTATCAATTACCTAAATCAACTTACATCAATTAAATTTATTTAATGATTACAAATGTTGTTACTTTATAATTTATAATCATTTTTATATAATTTATACAAAATTAATCCAAAATTAATAAAAGATTTTCAGACCTAAAACTTAGCTGAATTACATTTAATGTGCACAAGAGCATGATCTTAATCCTAATAAATAATGTAAAAAGCATAACACAAGAGCATGATGTTAATTTTGTATGTGTTGTAAGATTTGTTTCTTAAAAAGCTAAAAAATCTAAAGCATTATCATTATTTTAACTCATATTTTAATTAAAAAATTAATAATGATTGTTGGATTACAATTGCTGATTACTTAAATAAAGTTTTTGCGTCACAAGTAATTGTAATTGAATGAGTTAAAATTCATATAATTCTTTTACAAGTACAAGCAGATATAAGTATATTGTTACTATTTTAATATTTTTTGTCTTAATTGAAGCAAGTATATGGAGACTGTTCCAATTATTTTCTACTAGGGGGAAACATAATTCGGGATCCCGATGAAGGCGTCTCATATGATGCTGAGCCGAAAGGGATATATGCGGTGCAAATTCACAGCTTACAGCAGTATCCGATCTTCGGCCACAGACAGGATCAGGGGTAGCACATGCAGTAGAGGGGGGGTCACACTCACAGGCTCCACAGGATACGCATTTACGATTGGGGGAGCCAGATATTCAAAGAGTCTACCGTAGGAGACCGAGGAGGGAGATCCACGGTCGGGGTTGTGGGACTGGGGGCAGGTTACGACATTAGCGAGTGTGATATGGAGTGTATAGTTTACTTTATTTATAGTTTTTGTTATAGTTTTTGTAAATCAAACTTGTACAGATGATGTAAATGTGTCATACTTATTTATTCCAAAAATATAATTTTACAATTTTTTATTCTTACTTGTTTTGATGATTTCCATAAAAATGAAAAGGAAAACAGAAAAAAAAGGATAAGAATTGATAGGATTTTATTAACAAGGGAGATTGGAGGACCACTTGTGTTGCTACAGGTTAGTAAAAATTTTATACAAAAAAAAATCTGGGAAAAAAATGTAAACATTGCATAATGGATAGTTGTGGGGAGAAATATGAATAAAAAGGAAACAAAATAAATATCTAAACAAACACATAATTTTGTTTTCCCTTTTCTTTCACTTTTCTGAATGATTGCATTCACTGTCTTTTTTTCATGTATAAACCAATGATAACCAAACAAAATGTAGACATATATATTTGTTGTTCATCTAGCTTAAACGTGTATTTCAACTATTTGTTATATGAACCTGTAGTTCATTAAGTATCATTATTATATTTCACATCAATAATGCATGAAATCATGAAAGTCTAGTTCAAGTAGCGTTCTTCAAAATAACAATAACGGACAGAAAGTAAAGGTAGAATTACAAGAACTATTCGAAAGCAATTGAAATATCTCCCTTCATTGATAAGTCGTGGATAAGCATTAAAAATTGCATGCATTACAGAAATGCCCTGGGCGTTCATCCAAACAATTTCATTCATTATCATCATCATCTAACATCTCAATATCAGATTCACACATAGCATCCATGCTCTAGGTGAAGTACTGGTGCGCAATTTCCATTAACCCATTTTCGACATGCTCATTTGCGGTCTTTATTAGTTCGGACTTTTGCAAACGTTGGGTCATGCAATTAACCTCGTCGCGGATACGATGCAATACCCTTTGCAACAACAACTGTGGATGTGTCAGTGGCATATGCAATGGGCTTAACCGGCGAGGAA